CGCGCTTGGAGAAATGTACCGCAACGTGGCGGTGCGAAGCGACAAGTTGCGTCAGCAAGCACGTGGACGCCGCGACCGAAAATCCCAAGTGAAGTTTGCTTGTCGGAGCAGTCGTCAACCGTCCGACAAAATTGGCTCTGCATTGGCGCGGACCCTTCCAAGTGACCAGAGTCATCACAGACCATGTGATGGTAACTTAGCAGCTGGTGCCACCGTACGAAGTCACGGTCCATCAAGCATGCCGATTGAAGATGTACCACGAAGGTGGTAGAGAGGTGACCGAAGACCTCGAGGCGCAGATCGCGTTCGGCGATGACGGATTTCACGTGGAGCGCCTCGACGAAGCGCGATGCGTGGATGGCCAACACCAATGGCTCGTACTGCACGATGCAGAATCACCCTGAGAACCTGCGGCGAATTTGCTGAACGACATTCCAGTCGTATTTCGCAAGTGGACGGCGGCCAACAACGAAGTCCCTGCCGTGGACGCCCTTATCAAGACACTGGACTTTCCGTGAAAGGGGAAGTGTTCTGCAGCGTGCAGTGTAATTGGGTCGCGCGTTAGTTTGACCCATTGCAGACACACACACTCTGTGTGTGTGCCGTGTCAAAGGTTTCGATACCTTAGTGGAGGTACTGAGTATTTTAGTGAATGGTAGTCAGTAGGCGCCTCGTGGCGTGTTTAACCTCATTAATGTCAGTGTGTATATTTGCTACCTTGACGAAGGTCCTATGTCCACTGACATTAGTGAGGTTAAACGCGTTTGACACGGCACACACACAGAGTGTGTGTGTTAGCAATGGGTCAAACCTACGCGGACCCAATTGCTCTGTACGCTGCAGAATAATAATATACAGGTGTATATATATATAATTCACGATATATATACATATATCTTAAATGTATCACTAGATCCTTTGAAACATACTTATATATACTTTCTTCGTTTCAGAATGAAGCATACCGTTATATAATTGTACGTCGTATATGACATATTGTATTGCAAAATACTGATAATATATATGAGGATCAGACGTGTACTTTTATTCAAAATGATATAAATACGACAGAGCACTGCATGGCATGCTCCAGATTACCATGCCAGGCTGTGAGCCAGGTGTGAAGGTGATTAAGGGTCTGGGAAGCTCATTATTCGATTCGCTTTGCTTGTACAACATGGGGGAAGGAGTCATGAAGAGCTCTGAAGGTTTCGCCTGGATGTGGGGCACCGCCCTCCTGTGCTTCATCGGCATCGGGTATTTCACGTGAAAGAAGATCGTGCATTTGCAAATCAAACATAAACTTGCACTGAATGACTCGTAACTTTCTTCTTATCACGAACATGTCGTATTACGTCTTCCTGAGTAATCGAACTACTGTACGCATAGAACAGTACTTAGCCACAGGACACCTGTCCAAATGCAGAATTTGGCATTCATCGTGGATGTCTACATCTAAAAAGAGCCCTCCTTCAGTGCTTGTAGTTCCTTAGTCCGCTAAATCACAAAACTGTGTTCACTGGTTCCATGCTACATATACTTCTTCGTTTGTGGGATCGCAAACAGAAAAGTCATTGCATGATTGAAGGATTGAATGATATGCCGCTTCCCAAGCGCAAAATCGCTTCGTCGTCATGAAAAAAGTTACATAGCTCTACTAAATGGGCAGATATTTTTGTTCTGTTTGAGCCTAATCCTACCTACACATCACTAGCAATCGATTCACAGCATTGGAATCACTTGACATCGACGACCAGGGTGAATAAAGAATATGTCTATGGATGGAAATGTAAATTTGTATGAGTCTTTGTATCAAAATGCAATATTAATAAACAAAATATTATGTGGGTAATTGTATGACTTAATCTTTATATTTATAATATTTCTAGGGTCTCTGCTATCGCACTTCTATTTCCGTCCTTGGTTGATTTTCAAATGGTACTTCTATTTCCGTCTGGAGGTAGTATTTTGATTAAACTATGGGTCATTTTTGAGTCTTCGAGACAGACAATTAATCTCATGGGGCTGATATAGCCACCCAGTATTACGCTTGCTCCCCACTTTTAGTCGTCCTGATTTGCCCATTTATCCCACTTCAACTGTAAGTCTTAAAATTTCTAGTATTTTTCACGAAATCGTGTTGCACGAGTACTGGAAACGATGGGATGCAACGCCCACCTTATCTTCGAGTTCAGAGTGAATTGTGCCGTCTTATTGGTCATTAACTTCGAAAACTATTTAACAGTCCGCGGGTGGATCGAGGGGACCAGCAAAAGTTTTTTGGAATGGATTTGGTCAATTTCCATGATATAAAGTGCATCCAATTTGTCTGTCCTCACGGAAGGAGATTATGTCACTGCCAAAGTCTGAAAAGCAATAGATTGCTCAATATGATTGAGAGACTGCCAGAATTATACTAGAATGTTCACATGAAGATCATTACTCGTGAAATACAATTTATATCAGAAGGAGGGAGTGTAGAAAAATTAAATTACTTCCCAGCATTGACGAACCTTTATAACTCAATGGCTCTCAACGATACACATCGGTCAAAAAAGTTGAACAAATTACATACAAAATCACTATTTTTGATCTATCTCTGTCAATTCTATTCCGTTTTTCGCCAAATAAATGGCTAAGTGTCCGTCCTGATTGGCTCTAGCGTTTCCCACTCTTTTTAACGCACTAGGACGAAAATTCACACTAGAAATCCAAGTAGTAACAATTAAATGAGTATTTAAAGCTAAATCCATAGATTCTTCTAAACCGTAATATTCTTCGAAAGGTTTTTAGTCATTTAAAATATAATATTAAATAATTTAATTACGAACTTATGACGGAAAACGAGTTTTGATACAGTGCAAATGGACGCGGCGACGTTACAACGCATCAAAACATTCGTCAGGCTACGCCTGACGTTTGACGAGAAGATGGACATACTTTGGCTCCAAGCAACACTCAGCGAGGCGAGTACAGAAAACGTCGCTAGTGCTATTTCCCAACTGCTTGGACGAGCTCGCAAAACAGTCAAAGGTGTCCTTGCCGAGTACTTGGCCACTGACAACCTATCGGTCGCCTAACTTCGACCCAACACCACTAATCAGCACTCGCGTGTTCCCAACACCCATGCTGTTCGTGCGCTTGTGCAGAGGTTCATCCGTGACCGATGTGTTACCCGTACTCGCACCGTTGCCAAAGATGTCTTGTCGTACCTCGTTGACCATCATGTTGTCGCTATCGATGATGGCCGGGTCAAGGACTATGCTGCCTGTCGTGCGTCGTACAAGTCTTCTTAGCCAAGCAAGGCTATGCACGCGGCAAGCGCTCGGGAACAACTGTCTATCGAATATCAAAGGGGCATGAAGAGGCTAGAGATTCCTACGTTGGAATCATGTTACCTACTGTGACGATTAGCCCCCGTGGACTGGTCTACCATGACGAAAGCGTCATCCACCACCACTACTGTCGGCACCGAGGCAGCTTGTACGATCCGACTGACGACGTCACCAAGCCGAAACATAAGGGCCGCCAATACTGCTTCATTGCCGGAATACTCGATGACGGATCGGATGTGTCCCACCTACTCGGTCCAGACATCTTTGTTGGTGGGAAAAATAATGGCAAGGTTGTTAAATATTACCATTGTATGCATAACCATGTGTACTTCGTGGACTGGTTCGGAAAGCTGCTGGACGAAGTCGAGGAGCTGAGGTGGTCATCGGCCGTTTTCGTCATGGACAACGCCAAGTACCACAAGGGGAAGCCACAGTCGACACCCAAGGGAACGAGGAAGAAGAGCGACCTGTATCAAGCGTGTGTCGACAACATGCTGACGGATGTCGCGCCTACTGACCTAAAGTCCACGATTTGGAAGACACTGAAGAAACACCTCGACGAGCATGTCCCACCTGTTGCTGTTGCAATGGCGCGGGCTCGTGCCCATCATGTTGTCTACGCTGTGCCTGTTTCTCGGAGCTTCAACCTATCGAAATGGTGTGGGCAAACGTCAAGGGAACAGTTGGACGTGCATATACCTCAATCACGACCTTTCAAGATGTTTACGAACGCCTTGAGTGGGCATTCTTCGAGTTGGACTCTGACGCGATCTGCAACACCATCAAATCGTCGACGGCAAGCTTCTTGACCTCGACCGAGCTCTTCGTGAGGCCGAAGGAGTGGAGGCAGATGGCTGTAATGAAGATAGGAACAGCGACATGTCCACCAACGATGACACTTCGTCATCAAGCGAATGTAGTGGGAGTGATGATTAGTTCATTTACCTCGCGTAATTAATTTCTTTAGGGCCCGTCTGGATACCACTTTTATTGAGAAATATCGCGATAATTTTGCAAAATATTCAAGAATCTCAGCGACTTCAATTTGGCGTGTCTGGGTGCCATTTGTTGACCAAGTTATATTCCATAATTTTATCAGAAATATCGTGAAAACTACAAGAAATAATATTCTACTCATGAGTAGAATACGACATTGACAGTGCGCGTTGAATTGGCTGGGCATTTCGGAATGAGAAAGGCCATCGTGATTGCCTTTCCTACGTCGTCGCCTGGCCAAGGAACTCTTCGCCAGACAGATGGAGTACCACTACCTCGCCTTCGTCCACAAGACACCAAAGAGGACGTCCATCCTCAGTGGTCTTCTCTGGGTGGACGAAGTCCCTGCGGCTCTGCGCTATCCTCTGATTGGATGTTCATTTACGAACTTTCTTTAATTCTATGGCATCCAGACACACCACCCAAAATCACTCTTGGATCTTGAAACCCAAGAATTTCCTGCAATGTAGAAAAATGTTTTTTATTCAATATTCCAATATCCCATAATATTGGTGGGTGGCATCCAGACGGGCCCTTATAATGCTATATATTTCGATATTGTATTTCGGCAGGTTTAGGATGCCTGTGAGCATTATAATTTATCCTCTGCAAAATGTTATAAATTTTTATATCCTGGTCCCCTCGATGCCCTTGTGGACTGTAAGCCTATCACAGCCAATTTCAACAAAAAAAGATTCAATTCATGAGGAGATAAAATTCCACATATCATGTAGCAAGGAATTCGGCTTCATAGCTGCAACGTTGCAATCAATTAAAGGTCATCAACATTATAAGGAAAAGGAAGAAAAACCTTCGACAAGAACCAAAATGATGCACAAGCGTAAGCGTTTGACGCGATAGCGCAGTGGTAGAACACGTTGTGTGTCTTGAGAGAGCCTTGGGCGCATCGAACTTCTTTTAATACATCTAATGTATTTAAATACCTATTTAGTTGTATGCAATAAAATATAACCAAATCAACTTTTTTACTTGAATCGAATATCAACCAACTATGTCCTTCGAAAGCTTTGACAGATCACGTCTTCAGAGACTATGTCCCAAGCAGCGATAGAACGTTTCACCATGGCCGTGCGCTTTTGCCTAGCAGTAAGTGAGAATGGATCTTCATCATCGCCAACGATTTGCTCTTCCAAAAACCAGTGCTTGAGTAGGTTGCGCTTGAATGGCGTCATTACTCCAGAGGCTGACATACAGACGTCGAATTGGGCGGAATGAGAATAGGTGAGCTCCAAGTTCTTCATGCATGATCTTGTAGGACTCGTCAGACACGTGACGCTCGAAATTGTCCATGAGAATGACAGATGGCTGTTCATGGACTCCCCCAAGACGTCGCGCAGGTACTGACTGTAAGCCCACACACAGCTATCGATCCACGCCTTCTCTTGCACGGCATAGTGATGTTTGTTTGAAAATGTAGGGAATTCAGTCGATTGGATCCGACCTCCAGGGGCTCCACGCATGATGAAGAGCAACGGCAGTTTTGATCCATCGGCCCGCAGGGTGAGGACAGCCGTCATATACATGGAATCTTCTCGCCGGAAGATATCTTGGAGCTTTCGCCACGAGCGGATCAGATGTAGCTGGGCGGTAGGTCGTAGTACATTACAGTCTCGTTCAAGTTAAACACACAGTCCTTAGAGAAGGAGGCGTACTCGTGGTGGAAGTCGTTGGCAAATTCCTCGTGGACCTCAACCAGCACTGTTTGCTTCAACTTGCTCTTGGTGAGTCGTTGGCGTGAAAGACGTGCCGCTTGCAGAAGCATTGAAGGAGCTTGAGCAACGAGCTGTAGGCTGCAATTGGCTTCTTAGTAGCGATGTAGCTAAGTAGTCAGTCTCTTTGGTTCAACTTGATCCACGAAATCATATGTGTGGTGGTTAGAGCACGTTCGTTATCCCGTACATGGCTTATGAATTCAACTAAACCTGGAGGGCCAGGGAAACTTCGTAGCGACCACGTGGATAAAGCTTGTTGTACTTCTTGTTGCCATACTACGCCAGCAGCTCGAAATGCTGGTCCTGCCAGCTGCGAACAGTACGTTGAGGGACTATCATTGCTCTAGTCACCTCGCGGCAAGAAATAGTCTCGAGGAGACCAATGGCTTGGAGCTTAGTTGAAATCGGATATTGTGCAAGACGCACGTTTGGTTGTGTGTGGTGATTGTGTGAAGACTTTGTAACCCGCAGGTGTATATATATATATTTGAAAAGCGCGCCGGTGCGAAGAATAATAATTCCGCCAATAAACGTGAGGTATTTTGGAAATCCAATATGATTGGATAAATTTTGATGTGACACACTTAAATCTTCGGTGGGGGTTGCATTCCATCGTTCACAGTAGAACTACTGTAGAGTACATTACTTGGTACATAACGCAGCCACTCTCGCATGCTTGTGCAGAGCCCATGTCAACTCATCCTAAATGTCAAATGACTCGTGAAATGTCAGTTTTATTCCTGGGTAAGCATTTCAGCAGTTCATGCGTTGAACAAGGTAAGTGTTGTTTAGGGCGAGTTCCGAGTAGATTTTATTTGGTAAATCAAAAACGAAAGAAATTTGGTCCCAAGTATAGTGTCCAAGATTTGAAGTCAATTTCTGCAATTGTTAACAATTTTGACTTAAGTGGATTCGACGTTTTCATTGGCCAACGACCATATCATCGATTTTTATTGCGGCAAATTTGTCGTGATTGATTGGATGATTGGTTTTCGCGGTCAAAGGTTTTCGCGGTCAAAGCCGTCAGCACATCATGAAGTGGTCATTTCTACTTTTGAACAATACAGAGAGAGCACTTATGGAAGTGGTCATTTCTACTTTTGAACAATACAGAGAGAGCACTTATGGCAACCGCCTTGGCGTTCAATCTCAAGATGATGACAGCGGTCGAGGTGCCAAAGTTGAAGAACAAGTTCCAAGCCATCAAGTCAGAGTTCTCCACGCTTCGGTGGTCGATGGACAACGAAACTGGAAATGCGACGGAACGACCGTTTGACCTACCAACGTATTGGGATTCTCTCGTTGAGTACTTCGGGGATAGACGGGAATGAACTTCAGGTTATGGTCGACAACACCTACAACTTGCGCATAATATAATCGAGTTGGTATCCAATGCTCTACCATTGAACGCAGGAAATCCCTTGCGGTAGTACCATCCATCATGGTCGGCAAATCGCTTGACTTTCACAAGCGACCCGTCGAGGACACCCACAACGTTCGGCACCCCACACATGCTCTCGAACACCTCGGTGTTACTTGTCTATTCATCGTTCGACATTGGCAGGTGGATGACCTCGTGCAGGAACGTCAAAATAACCTACGTTACTTCTTGGACGTATGCGTGTGATCGTGTTTTTGACATGCCAAAGACTTGGCCGGAACTGGCAAGACTAAGTCTGACTGTGTGCATCCAACTCGGCAACTACCTCCATGCGTCAGGCAGGTAGTGAATCGTCACGGTAACCCTGTCACGGATGGAGAAGATAGCGTGTGATGCAAGGGCTCGTGACGCTGGCCCCATCTGGCTTGGACTCTGGTCACAATCGCATCAAACGCCGCTCGGCTGCATCAGAAATGTCTGTGAAACCAACGATCAAACTCTTCGTCGTCTTACACCAAGCCCAGGTGTCTGTGCGGATACTGAACCGTTGTGTTGGTGAGTGTCAATCAGAGCGTCCGTCCGTCATGGCGATGATTGCCGCCACCATTGCAGCTGTCGTGACCACCAACTCTGACCTCATGTCAAGTTTCTCGTTTGCTTTGACCAATCAACTCTTGTTTTTACTTGGAATGTACATCACCACACCAAAATAGCAAAACGAGGTCATTGACGCCTTTTTCTAAATCGAGAAAAAGAAAGAGGTAGAAATGAATCTGATTGGTTCGTGCTATTTCTGAAAACAACTTGGAACTTCCCCTTACTAGTGTGCTCCATAGCAACAGTTGTAGAGTTGGATAGTTGTGTCAAAGCTAACAGTAGAGACGTTTTGGCAACTCATCCTTATTCTCACCCGCAGCTGTAAGTCGATTCGCCTTATAGGTCAGCATACATGAATTCTCGGATTCTACCCATGAAAAACTGTATTGCCGTGTTGCGACCATGGCCGCTCGGGGTGCTGATGAGAATCCACGTCATCTACGCCATAACGTTATATAATAAGTAGACACGTGTAGCGTCGAGTTAGACGAGAGTTTAGGCCATTTTTTGTAGGAATTGAAGTAGTATTCTAGTATGCAGTGCTCGATTTTGTGTTCTCGAAAGGCTACAGTTGTCGGCTCGGTGGTCAGTGAAGATACACAGATTACCATTGCTGAATCCGTCAGTATATGCGTATAACGCAAGGTTAGGTGAGAGTAGTAGTCAAAGAACCAAAGGAATATAGCATGCTTAGAACTTATATTGTCTCGAGTTTTTTCTCGGCTTTCGGCCACGGGACCATCGTCAAGGCAGAAAATATACACACTGACATTAATGAGGTTAAACACGCCACGAGGCGCCTACTGACTACCATTCACTAAAATACTCAGTACCTCCACTAAGGTATCGAAACCTTTGACACGGCACACACACAGAGTGTGTGTGTCTGCAATGGGTCAAACTAACGCGCGACCCAATTACACTGCACGCTGCAGAACACTTCCCCTTTCACGGAAAGTCCAGTGTCTTGATAAGGGCGTCCACGGCAGGGACTTCGTTGTTGGCCGCCGTCCACTTGCGAAATACGACTGGAATGTCGTTCAGCAAATTCGCCGCAGGTTCTCAGGGTGATTCTGCATCGTGCAGTACGAGCCATTGGTGTTGGCCATCCACGCATCGCGCTTCGTCGAGGCGCTCCACGTGAAATCCGTCATCGCCGAACGCGATCTGCGCCTCGAGGTCTTCGGTCACCTCTCTACCACCTTCGTGGTACATCTTCAATCGGCATGCTTGATGGACCGTGACTTCGTACGGTGGCACCAGCTGCTAAGTTACCATCACATGGTCTGTGATGACTCTGGTCACTTGGAAGGGTCCGCGCCAATGCAGAGCCAATTTTGTCGGACGGTTGACGACTGCTCCGACAAGCAAACTTCACTTGGGATTTTCGGTCGCGGCGTCCACGTGCTTGCTGACGCAACTTGTCGCTTCGCACCGCCACGTTGCGGTACATTTCTCCAAGCGCCACTTGAGGTCCGTCACATGTTTCTGACGGGCGGCGCCAAGCCAGTCCGCAACGTAAACTTCGTTGGACTGGTGGACAAATCCTGCCAGCGGGGTCTTGGCTGGCAGGCAGGTAAACGCTGTCACAGGCGCAATTCCTCCCAGCCGGTCCGCCGGCTGATGGTTGAGGGCGCCTTGAACGAGGGGCAACATATGCGGCCATTCGTCAGCTTCATTTCGCTGAGCAGCGCCTTCACGGCGCGCAGCACTAGTCGGTTGGCACCTTCTTGATCACTTCGTTCTAGAAGTGAGGGTCGCGATCACACAATTCCACTCCTGTAGGTCAACACCACCGACTGGGAACTAGATTCGTTCGTCTGGGTCGTTTGGAGGGGTCCTTTTATCGACCTATTAATACCATTCAGGACGAGCTGTCGCAAGGCCACAGAAGCGCCTGACTCAATCCAGTGCAAAGTAGGCCGGGGTCTGCAGCGATGAATTGTATAAACCGATCCAGCCCTTCTCGTCGTCGATCTAGAAATATTTGGTCAAACCTCCGTCGCAACGAGTTGGGGGGCAACAACGGAAGCGTTCGTAACGTTGCAGGTCCACTCGCCTTGATGTGATCTACGAAATGCGCAAACTCGGAGAACCGTTTCCATGTTTGGACTGCGACGACACATGATGGCGACGTAACTTGCAGGGCATACGTAGCAATATTCCCCTCTTTGTCGCTGGAGATGATGCCGATGGCCTTGACACTAATCCAAGCTTGTTTCCATCAGCGGGCTGGAGTTTGAGCCGGAGTGTTGTCAGGGCCCACATAGGGGCTACGTTTAGAGGATTGCTGGTGGTCATAGAACAGTCCTGTGGTGAACATTTCGATGGCCGCAGAACAAAACCCACGACAAACCTCCATCACTGTGAGCGCCCCTGCAAGAAGCACCGAGTCGACGTAATGTTGAAGCGACGTCATGACAAATGCGCATGTTACACGGCTACAACGACCATCGCTCTTAGTGTTTCACGAGCGTTGATTTTCAAACGCGTCCAGCTCATACAACAGATCGCTTTAAGGGCATCCCCAATGGTGCGACGGTAAACGGTAAAATATGCCGTTTTGGCAACCCCAACGGTGCGACGGTATCTACCATAAACGACATATTTTTACCGTTTTGTCACCAGCCGACGGCAAAATAAAGGAGCCAATCATAAACCTCAAATAATCATATTTCCACCAATAAAACGCATGTATTTGAGCATGGGCATTTCCATACAAGTACTGACACTTTGCGGGATGTGAACTTAACCACTGACGAGGACTGCCAGCTTGTGAGTTCGTGGTTGAACGCATCCCAAGATGAGTCTCAGGGGAACGGGCATAAGGCCTAGCAGTTTTGGGTCCGCGTGGAGAGGAACTATTGCACCTATTGCGAGCCGGACTGCCATCCCACAGCACGATCCTTAGGGCTCCTCTGGATGCCACGAATTATGGCAAAAAATAGGAAAATCTCCATAAAATGGTGAAATGACAAAGTCGCGAAGTTGTTTCGTCTGGATACCACAAAATCCAAAGGAAATATTACAAAATTATAGCAAAAAAGTTCACGTATTATGTATGGCATTAAAAAATGGACCAAAATAAAGACAGTCCATGTGAACATCAATGTTCTGTCAAATCGGCGTACTTCGAAGTATTTCGAAAACCGCAGCAACCACAGCACACAGATGGGCCTTTGGACGGACGAACTGGACATCACCTGGTTGAAAGAGCTCGTCCACCAAGCCGTCGTCGTGGGAAAACGAGCTTGGAGCGCAACAAGAAGGAGGCCTGGCAAGAGGTCCTCAAGAAACTGAACGAACAGCACGGACAAGTCGTTCCCTTCATGTTGCAACAACTCAAGACGCGGCACGATACCATCAAGGGGACGTACTCAGTCATTGCAAAGATTGTCAACAGCAGTGGTATGGGTTGGGAGTCAACAACGTGTCAAGTCGAGTGTCGATCAACAACGTCGGAGGTATTCCTCGATGGCAAGCAAAGACAGTGGGGAGCATGGCGCCACAAACGCGTTCCACAGTTTGAGCTGTGTGAGGCTCTTTTCCGCGGAACGTTGGCGCGTGGGTTTCATGACGTTGCATCTACAGACCCTCCTCCAAGCAACGCTTCTGTGGACGATGAAGGGCGAATGGACGATGTCGCGCTGGACAACGATCAAGCGTCGGAACAAGACGATGTCCAAAGCAAAGAGGATGGTACCGGCCGTCGATCATCTTACGGCGAGAGTGGAAAGCCACCGAACAAGCTTCAACGGCATACGATGGCGTCGCAGTTGCTCCAGAGTTTTCGGGGAATGGGGGCTTCGCCTGAGCGAGAACTCGAACTCATGGCCCAAATGATCAAGCCGATACCTGTCTCGCCAACCTCAAGCGCAGTCAAGCTACTCCAAGAAGAACTCGGGGGCGTATTGAGTGTTGAAGACACGATGCTGGCACTTGATGTCTTGGAGAACAAAACCCACGCAATTTCCATGCAGCCAGCTCTGCGCGAAACCACGATATTGCGCCAGGTTCAGAAGTTGCGAAATTAATGAAGCCATCAATTCATTTCATTTCTGATTGACTCATACGACGCATTCAACGTTTTGGCGGCTTCTCATAAGCCTAGTTTCTTGGTATTGACGCCACATTTGAAGTGCAATTCCATGACGCCATTGCTTTGCTGCGTCATCGTCTGGTTCTTCGGGTACGAAGCATGCTTGTGTGTCGTGTTTTCTTGACCAGGCTCGATCGGATCCACTTGTGCATCAGCTTCTTGTTCAAAGCGATCGTTTCGAATCCCAGGTAGTCGAATGAAATTGTGTACCACACATAGTGCGAGCAAAACATCAACTTGGAACGTGTAGTCATACCGAACCCCATGTGACAAGACCTGAAATCGCATCTTCAGGATGCCGAATCTCTGTCGATGCAGTTCCGCAACTGCGCATGACGCAGATTGAACAGCTCTTCCTTTTTCCGTGGCTTCGAGCGGCCAATGCCCCATTCCTTAAGGTGGTAGCGCGTGCCTCTGTATGGTGTCAAGCACTTGTTCGTGAGGGCATAACCGGTATCGCCCAAGTCGTCTTCGTTGGCGACAATGACAGGCATTTTCGAAGCGCATCGTCGTAGACCTTGCCATAACCCGCAGTGCCCTCCCAACCCGCAAGCACATAGGTAAACACCAGATCGAGGTCGCATGCCGCGAGAGCATTTGTCGTAAGACTCTTGCGACCATGGAACGGAGCAGAAACGGCTGCACTCACACAGACAGGAACGCGAGTTCCATCCAAAGCCATCCTGCAGTTATTGAAGAATGGAAAAAGCTTGGGATTTGAAGCAATGAAGTCGTGCAATGGGGCGTCGTCGCGAGACAGTTGGATGTAAAACGGTAACAATCGACGGAGAGCAGCCAACGCCGACAGCAAATGTCTCGAGATTGTTTCTCTGGAGTGTTGAAATCTCTGCTGCATGTTGGTCGACGATGCCATGTGCCCACAAAAGTAGAGGAAGAGGTAGAGTTGCTCTTGTGATGAGGTACGCCGAGTCCTTTTGAGTCCACCACGTTGCAACAGTCCACCATACGCATCACGGGACATTCGAAAAGTCTCCTCGAAGGCATCCTCGTTTTCTTGTAGCATTTCGGCAACCCACAAAGCCCCCGACAAGATGGAGACCCGCTTTGACGTCTTCAACAGGTGTAGTGGTAGACCAGCTATGACATCAACATCATGCGACGTCGCTTAAGGCGCCGCCGACGAATCAAGATCATCATGGTCGTGAGCATCGTTTTGGCGCGCAAGTTTGAATCCGAATGAAACGTGAGTATTGTTTGGTATCCAGACGGTTATTTTATGTAATTCGAAGTACTTCGAAGTATTCCATTCTATTTTGGACAAAATTTGTAAAATCTGATTTCGAGTTTAAAGATGCCACGTTTTGATTCGTCATAAATATGAAGTTTTACCCAGTTACGCAGCAACGCACGTTTACTGTTAGGCGTGATGCATTTACAGTTAATATGAAAGCTGATGACATGGTTGCGGGTAAAGAACAAGATATGGGTTGTGGCGATTGCACTTATTTCGCATGCGTGAAGTGACCTCAAACATGGCAAAAAACTGAATATAGCGTACTATGGGCGTGGTCATATCCTGCAATAAGCATCGTAACACAGTCGAGATGATACTCATTACGTAATACTGGTTATTCATCAAATTAACGATGTTTACCACAAACACTATAACGAGCGAGTTTGGCTTTCCATAAGGAAGTCGGTTGTATGTTCAACTAAGTGGGTTGTATGTTGGCCATGTCGCTTTCATTATGGCACGCGCAAGCTTGACTTACTTCGGCAAGTACGGTTTAATGAAGTCACGAGCAGCGCTGACGCGTGCATAGATACCTGGTATGTCGAGCTCACCACATTTAATGCCCCAGCTGGCCACCCCCACCAAGCGCACGTCACCGTTTTCTTCGGTGGTCAACGGTCCCCCCGAGTCGCCGGTACACGTGTCTTCTCCTTCCACCCCTCCAGCACCCAACATCGTATCGGTCACTGGGACGGGTAACAACGCAGCTGAGGTCCTTGTGTTGTTCCAGGTCTTGAGGCTGACCTCCTTGAGCACTTGCGATTGGGGGCCAACTCCTTTGACGTATCCCCAGCCGCGTACCCAGGTGAGCACGTCCGCCTCAACGAAGTCGAACGACACTGCCACAGGTTGGGTGATGGAGATGTCGTGGTCCAAGATTAGGATGCCCAAGTCGACGCTACTCTTGGGGTGCTTGAATTTCTGGATGATAGTGGCCTGTTCCCCGTCGGCAAAACCGGTTAAATAGTGCGTACCCACCACCACAGAAACTAGAGGATAGCTCAAACAATGCGCCGCTGTCAAAACGATATTGGGGGCGATCAGACTGCCGCCGCACACGGTCTCATTAACGGACGCCGCCTTGACCCCAGTCACATAAAGGTGCTTGCCGAATTGGGCTTCCTGGCCCCCGACGATTTCGAAACCGTCGTCTAGGACCTCATCGCCCCATGCGACTTTGGCTGGAACAATTTGGTCTTGAGCCAAGGCAGCGACGGCCACGGTCAAAGCGAAAAGGAGTGCGAACTTCATGATGGAAATTGGAAAATGAATGGTCTTTCACCTAGAGCCAAGTCAATCCAATCGTTTACGTCAGACTGTGATTGCACTAGCACACCAAGTACCAAGGTTAAACAAATGGATGGTTGGGATGTGTACAACAGACATACTGTACATCCAGATCTTGTCATTAACCCGCTAGGATGGACGAGTCAGCTATGGCGTCATAAATATCCAACAGCCTGGCCGATATTCTTGCCAGAAAAACCCACTAACGTTGCTGTATCACAAATTCAAAGATTAATTGAATTTGGATTATCATTTTTAAGACATTCCTCCGCGAGGGGATCGAACCGGCGACCTTTGAGTTAAAAGACCGATACTCTACCACTGAGCTATTTTCCATCCTCCTCACATATTCAAAGGATGAAGGATCTACATTTACAGTAACACTTGCAGTACGGTGGATTGATACACTGCGCGACATACGATCGTACTATCCGCATAAGCTTGCCTCCTTCGTGGTCTAAAAACCCGCTAACGTTAGCAGGTTTTTCTGGCAAGAATGCTGTGAGTATTTATTTATGACGCCAAAAGATGATTTATTCGTGACATCGTGGTTCCGTGCCACGATACATGATTGGTAGAAAACAATCACGCTGAAATTTTCAACCAATCACCTGGAATTTCATTTGCGATTTGAGAGGTAACTGGATAAAATCATGTGGAACTGTTTTCAGCCTATGGATATTTTCACTCTTTTACAGGTAGCAATCAACACCAATGGCATGATGTGGAGTCCTACAAACTGGATTAATTCTCCTCCTTAAGAAACACTAATAGCAATTTGGAGTAAAGGAACCCCTCCATCAAAGAGTCCCCAAAAGTGTCACGGAACCAGGCCCTCCGCGGAGGAATGTCTCAAAAATGATAATCCAAACTCAATTAACCATGCTCGTACTGGTACATATAATACAGACCTTTAGCAAAGTAAAGGTCGAACCTTTCTGGTATGATAATCCAAACTCAATTACATATCCTTTCTGGTAAGGCGTCAAACACGTGAACTGTACAGTGTACAGCTGTCATAGATGTTGATTAGAAATTGGACGTAATCTCATATCAGATGTACTAGTACTAGTACAGACAGTACAGTAGCTTTGCTCACTCATGCAATACAAACGTCTATTACACCTTTGGAACACCATCTATCCACTTGCAACCAGTTGGAAATGTTCCCCCACAGACCAGCCCCTAAGGGGCTGGTCTGTGAAAAACCATCCACGCTTTAAGGCAGGGATGTTATCCGAACTATTTTCGAGGATTCTGAAAATATATCAAAAAAAATTCTTAATTTCTATCGAAAGCGTGCAAAAGCAGGAACGGACACTCAAAAGCAGGGATGAATCATCCCTGCTTCAACTCAGGCGTTCCTGCTTTTGAGGTTGTGTTATCCGGAAAAATTCACGTTTTAGCCAATCAGGAGTCGTATTTGCGTGGAAGCGTGGACGGGAATGTTCACAGACCAGCCCCTAAGGGGCTGGTCTGCCATGCTATTATTTCCTATGCTGCACATCGCATGATGATTCTCAACAAGCGGTGGACTAGCTTGCTTGCGAACATGCTGATGGGTCAACTACCGAAGGCGAGGGCAGCGGGCGCATCATTGGTTATCACACCTTGGCAGCTTACGCAAATGCATTGATGGACATTTGGAAGTTTCAGTTCGACTTGAAGCAAAACCCGCTCATCCCAATACGTCCGGCGAGTGTGAAGGAACTGCTGAAGCAGAAGAAGATGGCGGTGGTTCAAAAGGAGAACACAGAGTTCGCTGATCGAGGACGTGGAACTATGGCAGACTGTGTGGATCCTGCAGCACTTCGGCAGATCAGCGACAAGTTCTTCATGGACGGCATCGAACAAGGCTTGAAACATCGTGCCGACAACCTGATGTCTTTGGCCTTGTGTACACGTGGTGACAACCTGCGCCGCTTGACGCTGTCTGAGATTGGTTTGGTTTCATTCGAGGGCGAAGGCGTCAATGGTGCAAGTCTGTTCCGCTGTGTGTGGCGCAAATCGAAGCGCAACCAGTATGGAAACGTTGAGCAGACAACATTCATGCGTCACAAGGACGTAACCCGTTGTCCATTTGGCGCTCTTGCGATGTACTTCTTCTTCCGTTGGCACATGGGTGATGAGCCATGGCCTGACCTCTCAGAGCGGAAACTGTGGTACGACATCTGTGTGTTGAAGGGGGCCACTCCAAGCACCGCAATGCAGTATTCCGAGCAGTACAAAGCAATCAAACGAAAGCACGAGCTCTTGGGTATTCAAACAACGACGAAG